GGCAATGAATGTACAAATGTGCTTTACACAATTGATGCATGTATGGATTGTGATACGAGTTGTATGAGCCCCTAACAAAATGATTTTTAAAAAATCAGGGAAAAAAAAAGAAGACCATGCAAAGAAGGGAGCAAAACATGGAGATGTGGTTGGCTCTAGATGGAAGCTAGTCCTTAATCCTAGTAATAAATTTTATTTTAGAGCCAACCAATCGGGCCTCGGAATGTTGTGTCTCTTCTCCATGGTTGTTCCATGACATTGTTCTCAGTGACTCTGTATCCACTTAGTGCTTGAGGCCAGCAGCCACACTTGATTGGTGTTACCATTTGGGGAGAGCCGAAAAGTAATACATCTCCAATGTCCATGGTGAATTGGCTTCCTCCAAAACCGAGGCTAACTTAGACAAGAAAGGATGCCAAAAAACCATCTAATTTTGAAAACCCACAGAAGAACACATTATCCTATGTGCAAACTAGACATGCTCGTAGGTCATGTCTATTTCTCCATCCAAACGATCATGAAGTTTAACTATAAGCATGCATCTTGAAGCAGTGGAATTTCATTTTTCTGATGCTGCTCTATGTCATCGTTGTTTATTCAAGTCTGTTCGTTTTATGGGAGATTGGAGTATATTAGTTGAGTTAAAACAAACAGATTTCACTGAATGGATAGTCACAGAATACAAAAGGACTCACTTTTAAAATGTGTTCTTCAGCTTTGCCTTGCTTGGTAGCCCCTCCAACACCTGGTGAGGCTGTGAGTCCCAGGATCTGAGGGAGAGGGGTCACTCGCTTGTTTTCTTTCTCGAGTTTATGGTTTGTCAACTTCTGTTTCAAATAGCGCCGCATGATGGTATTGTAGACGGCTTCTTTGTTGGTGTGATGGCACTCATCAATGATGAGGAGGGAAAAGTCTGAAAAGGAATCCAGGTGGTTCAACTGTCCGTTCAAGGAAACGAACGAGAGCAGACGAGGGATTTTTCACCTTGCGAACCGAGCGGGAGCAGTTTTACTTAGGCCAGACACTGACATGACCCCCTGTCATTTTTCAGGAGAAATATGTGACCATACTTAGAATTTGTACACATAGAAGCTCATGCATTTTAACCATGAGAATATCCCTGTTTAATAGGTGAGTTTCAGGAATTTTATCAGGCTAAGAATGGTCATGAGGTAATTCCAACCCTGACTCCTTTCCAAAAACTCTCAAGATTACATTTTTGGGGTTGTTTTTTTTTGAATGAAATATTTAATACAAAGTTGGTGTGTTTTAATTTTAAGGAGAACTTAATTTTAATGGTATTTGTTCAAGTAAAAACCACACTAAAGAGAGATAATTTTGACTTGTTTTCAACACTGTATGTAATTTTATAATTATGTTTAATTACTATTTTTCTTCTTTCTCTTCTCATTCCCCATAAAATAGAAAGAATTTCTTTCTATGCAGAATGGCTATCAAGATTCAATAGCACAAACCAAGAATTTTCCGTTTCTATAAACAAGAAGTAAACGGAAAGTCCAGTGAGTGACTGATTTAATAAAAGATTCTTTGGGGGTTGCTGTGTATCAGAATTGACTCAGCAGTCATCAGTTTTGTTTTGTTGTATTTCAAACAGAATAAAGTGATCTAATTAAAAACCTATTATCAATTTTAAAGTTGTTTCAGTTAAAAATAAAAAAAACAAGCTGAAGGGGAGACACATATGGATTATGCCCCTGGTGCATCCCCTGCGACCAGAGCTCAGGGATGCGAACAGACTTGCTACCACGCAGAACGCCCTGGAAAGTGGATGACTGCAAGTGCAATTGGGTTACATCTAACACCTTATCAATTGATCTCCCTTTTGATCCGTTTTTAATTGTTCTAGTTTTTCATGTTTTCTGCTTTCTTTTTTGGTTGCAGATTGTAATCTGTCTTACTTTATAATTGCTGTTAGTTTTCTTTTGTTTTGTTTTTAATGATGTTCTGTATGTGAAATCCAGGAGAGACAGATCTTTAGAAACGGTAGCTGGATTATGGTTCCTTGGGAGTAAGACAGGGAGGTTGGGGATCCATGGAGAGCTAAAAATGATAAGTACAAAGAAAAGGCTATAAAAGTGATTATGGTAATGATTGTACATCTCTTCTTCATGTGATCTAATCATTGAATTGTACTTATATATGGATTACACACGAATTAAACTGCTAAAAATAGTCCTAAATTTATTATCAATTTTTCTTTGTGTTTTTCCCTTAAATTTCAGGGAAAGACCATCTAAAGCGAGATTTTATTTAATTTTTAGTACTAGCTTTCAGATGGCTTACTACAGTCCCTATTACTCTCATTAGTATTATTGTTCATCTTCTTTTTATACAAAGAAACACCAACCTGACAACTGGACGCCAGCATCTTCTCCTTTTCCTGAATTTAAGAGGGAATTCTCGAGGATCTGCGCTGTACTGATAATAACATCATGAGATTTGACGAGCTCCGGAAAGGAGACTTTCAGTTGGCTATCACCACTTAATCCAATAACTTGATACGATTTCTTCAAGAATGGTTCAAACTCTTTGCGGAAGAGCTGTTCCACTAAAGGCACCTTTAAAAAGAGATTTAAAATAATATCTAAAAGAGAACAATCAAAGTAACAGGAGTATCGATCAAAAGCACACTACATGCCAAGCATTAATAAAGAAGGATTTCATTCTGTAATGAATTATTAGTTCACTCTCCACCAATTTATTCACTTACGGAATACTTGTTCGGTATTAGACTGTGGGTCTGGAATACGAAATGTTGAACACATGGTTTAACACACTTAGTGACTCAGTCAAGCTGGGTACACGTGCCAAGATAAACTAAAAGAACAAAGTATTTCAACACAGGGGAATCATTCCTCCATAGAGACATGTACAAAGTAATAGCAAAGAGAAGGGGCCCCTGATGGTTCAAAATTCGGGTTTATAAAGAAATACGATCTTAGTCCGAGAGTGGTGCCAACAGTTAGCGCTCAGGTGCTAACTGAAAAGTTGGTGTTTTGAATCTCCCCAGAAGCACTTCAAAAGACTTTATGAAATATTAACCATTGAAGACCTATTTAGCATAGTTCTACTCTGACATAGCATCTACATGAGTCAGAATACACTGAATAATAATGGATATTGTTTTTATAATCTAGCAAACAATGGTTCAGTGAAAGATAAGTTGAAACTAAGGCTGAATAAGAAATACATTTTGAATTTATAGATCAGGGTCAGGCTATAAAGGGCTATGAATGCCAAGCAGAGTATGTTAAATTTAATGTAACAGTTGACAGGAAGCCTGTTTGTTCTGGGGTTGGACTAGAAGCAAAATACCTAAGAAGACTGGAAAGGATGGGAAGATAAGAGTGAGGAATTGAGGCAGCAAGGGATAAGTATGAATAAACTGCTGGGAAAAGCTTTGGTGACGTAGCACCCCCACCCCCCACCCACCCACCCCCAAAAGTACAAATGCATAGAGTTGATGTAAGACATCTGTGGAAGGTAGCCCAGCTCATACAAATTATCAAAGTATCTTCTGGATTAGGGGAAAAGAGTAGCCAGGCTAACTTAAAAGTCACGTCCTAGGAAGACTATCGGGGTAAAAACAAACAAAATCTGATTGTGCAGTGGTTAAGGCACTGCTGCTAGCCAGAGGTCAGCAGTTTGAGCCCACTAGCTGAGGGCAAAAGATATCACAAGCTTCTTCCAGAAAGACTTCCAGCTTGGGAAACCCTATGGGGCAATTGTCCTTTGTCCTGCAGCCTCATGGAAGCCCAGGAGTGGGTAGCATTGCAAATAGAGTTGGCAGGAAGAGTTTCAAGGGAAAGTATCATCGCATGTACAGAGGACCCATTATATTCCTGATAATGTGCCCAGCTGACATGTGATCAGTATCTGCAGGGTATGTGCTATTCATCTTATAGTTAAGGTCTCTGTTGCTGTTTACTGTTGTTGACTGGATTCTGACTCAGGGTGTGTGTGTGTGTGTGTGTGTGTGTGTGTGTATGTAAAGCAGAACTTTGCTCCACAGGTTTTTGGAGGGGGTGGTGTGTGTGTGTGTGTGTGTGTGTGTGTGTGTGGCAGAACTTTGCTCTACAGGTTTTCAAGTCTGTGATCTTTAGAAGTAGGTCAACTGATCTGTCTTCCCAGACCCCCCTGGGTGGGTTTGAACCATTAACCTTTGGGCTAGCAGCTGCACATTTGGCAGTTCGCACCACCTAGAGATAAGCTCTGAGGATCTATAAAACAGGGAGTGGGTGGTTGTGCGGGCGAGAAAATAAGGCATACAGAACACCTTCTGCCATTATTATTTAGAAATGGAAATGTTTAAGAGTGAATTGTGGGGTGTGGTAAAAGGAACTCCTGAATGCCAAGGAAGCCACGTGACCTCAAGCCCGTCATCAGGCTTGGAAAGGAAAAAGATAAACACAGGCTAACAGGAGCACGAAGAGAAACTTTCGTTTTCATGGTTTCCAAAGAGGAGTCTATGATCCACTCACCCCCAAACACAAAATCACCGGAAAGACGTGGAGAATGCGGACTCCTGGGCCCCACCTGGCAGTGCTGACTCTAAGGTCAACCTCAGAATTCAGAAAAGTACACTTTTATGAAGTGCCCCCCCACCCCGCCATTATATTTAAGCCCTTTGAGAAGTGAGAGCCATGGCTCTCCTGCATCTTCCAGAGACCTGTGCTGCTCTTCTCTTGTAGAAGTATTCCTCCCCTCGCACTCAGAGAAGGCAGAGGGCATACTCTGAGAAGGGCATCCTGGAAGGAGGAGAAGTGAAACTCGGTGGAGAAGCAGCATGATTCAGAGAACAGAAAATCAGCCTCTGAAAAGAGCGACTGCAGTCACGTGCTTGCTGTGTGGCCCGCGCCTGACTTAGTCTCTGCTCTCCTCAATGTCTGCATGGACACAATGTCTGCGGATGCTGTGCACCTGCACAAAGGGGTTGCTCTGAAAAGCACATGAAATACCCCAAAACAAACTCCCTGCCCTCGAGTCCCAGTCCATGCCAACGAGTGGAGCAGGGCATCTTGCCAGTACTCAGAAAGCTGCTCTGATGATCCCTTAGCCTGTCACTCTGGCGGCAGAGTATGACAGCGGGGGAAGACTACACAAGGTTAAGCACTAAGGGGTTCAAGCCTTATCTCAGCTGCTTCTTGGCCACATCACGCTGGACAGCACCGTTAACGTCTGCTTCAAGCACTCTGCTGCGAACCAAAGGTCGACAGTTTGAACCTATCAGCCGAGAGAGAAAGTCTGCAAAGACTTCCATCGAGCCTCTGTTTCCTGATGGGTTCGATGGGGACACTAACACAGCATCCCTCCTCTCCTAGCGGGACATGCGTGTCTGTCCACATGGGGTGAATCAAGACTGAGCAAGCAAGCAGCATCCTTGATCTACAGAACAAGAACGACGTTTTCGCAGAAGGTAACAGGTGCTGGAAATCCCGATCCTCACGGAGCGGTACTGACTTCCTATTGACGGACACAGAGCGAGCCATATGCAAGCCTGACACGGCTAATGGGGAGGTGCGCGGTCCATTTGGAGCCTTTTCCTGAGATGTGACAGAATGCCTGCCAAGACTCATCAAACCCAACTGCTACCCGCTTCTGCTGAATCATATGGGGCTGCCTCTCAGCAGCTGAAGGAACCTGGGATTTATCTCTTGTGATGGTGAGGCCCTAGATAGGAAGTGGGAGGTCTGGGAACGCAGGTGGTGTTTTCATTTCTCGCTGCATCTGAAGGCTCTGTCTCTGGGAAAGTGGGAGGAAGGGAGATAGAAGGAATTGGTAGCGGGGGACAGGATTTGTCTTTTCTGGATCATGAGTTACACACCCTCACTACTGGGCCAAAGGCAGCGTGCAGGTGATGGAGAAGTGCTGGGTCAGAGATTTTTCTGGCTCAATTTGAAGACTTAAAGCTGACATTAAAAAGACATGGCATCGATGAACGAACTAAGGGGTGAATTTCTATTAATTACGAAGAGAAAATCAAAAGGGAAGTAGATCAGGAATTAGAAATATGACCTCCAATGACCACACAACATTTAAATGAATATGCATAATTAATAATGTTAAATTAACATTTAAACATGACTATAAATGTGGAGTCAGAAAAATTATCTAGATGTGATGGGGTGGAAGGTCTATGACTAGAATATAGCTTTAAGAGGAGAAGGAGTTAGTCGGGGGAAGAAGGTTCCTTAGACACATTTTAAAAACATAAGATTGAATTATTAATCAGTATGAATGATAAGAAAAAAGGAGAGAATTGCTTGCATTTAGGCTCATAAATGAACGGCACAAATATAACCCAGGAAGTCCTAGCTTCTCACACTCTAAACCAGAAGGAGCTGAGACGTGTTAGGCCGCCGCAAGCTTGAGCTGGTTCCAGGAGACGGTAGCACTCATGGCAAACACAACCCCAGTTGTGAACTCGGCATCCCAGCTCATCTCTCCAACAGCCAGACCTGGGGGAGTTTGTCCAGCTCTGGTCACTGGCTGGCCAGTGAGTCTCAGATCAACGTCTGGAAGAACGTGAGTACCAAGGAAGACGAAAAGGCTGGAGCCCGTGCAATGAAAAGAACAGGGGAAGCAAGTGGGGACATTTATTTTGAAGGGGACAATAAAAACAACTTGGAAGCCACACACTGCTGCCTTCTCTCTGGGAAGGGCTGTCATAAAGAGGAGTAAGAGTGACTCTATAAAGGCAGAGAGAGGAAAGAACTATAACCAAGGGGTGGGCATCCCAGGGAAGCAGATTTTGATGAATAAATGCAGAGCTTTTAACAATGTAAGTTGTTCAGAGAATGAATTATCTCTTTATTTTCAAACCCAACTAAATCTTGGATAAGAGGAGGTTACTGCTTTTGTCTTAAGGGTCAACAGGTGAGACCAATCAAATCTGCTGCTTTGAGCCAATTCCATCTCACAGCGCCCCTGGGCGACAGATAAGAACGGCCCCGTAAGCTTTCCGAGACAGGACATGTTTGTGGAAGCGATTGCCCCAGTTTTCTCGGGTGGATCTGCTTATGGGTTCGAACTGCTGACTACCTGGTCAGCAGCTCAGAGGTTTACCCACGGCACCCCCAAGGGCCCTAACAGAGAAAGAGACTCTAAAATAGCCATCTGTGAATATTACAGATCACAGTGATACTTTGAGAACGTTCGCCTTTGCATGTAACATACATTAGTGCTAACCCTGACCCTACCCCACTATCATCAAGTCAATTTCAATACACCATAGCCCTATATAAAGTTTCTGAGACTGCAAATCTTTATAGGAGCAAACGGCCTCATCTTGCTCTCACAGAGCAGCCAAGGGTTTGAACCATCGACCTTTCAATTAGCAGCCCCAGTTGACCTACAGCACTATCCGCAGTCCTTAACTTAGTACCAAAACCTCAAAAGCCAAACTCACCACCATCGAGTCAGTGCAGATGAATAGTGAGCTTACAGGACAGGGTAAAACTTCCCTGTGAGTTCCCAAGACTGTAACTAATTACAGGAGTAGAAAGCCCTGTTTTTCTTCTGAGGAGCAATTGGTGGTTTCAAACTGTGGACCTATTGGATCACAGACTAAAGAACGTAACCGCTACACCACCAGTGCTCCTGTGGAAAATTCCATTTGAAAGGACAGTGCCTTAGAAAAGCCATGAGTAAAAAGCAATGGAATGGCGTACAGAGGTGCTGCTGCTGTTGGGTGTTACTGACTTGATTCCAATTCACAGAACTGCCCCCCAGGGTTACTAAGCAAACATCTTGATGGGAGCAAGTCTCGTCTCTCAAGGAGCAGCTGGTGGGTTGGGATTACCAAACTTTTGGTAAAACAATACTGCATTACCAAGGCTCATGTACACTACATCCCTCCTAACCAAACTAAATCAGTGTGGTCTGTTGTTTCCAAGGTTGTTATATAGATATTTTGGATCAATAAAAGAGAGAGTGGACAGATAAAATTACACAGTGACTTCTCCCCCACCCCCTCTACCTTATTGACGAGGACGATGACCTTCCCAAGTTCGGATGCTTTTTTCTTCTGGTCCAAGTGATCCTTGGCAATGTACACAGCTACCCTGGTTTTCCCACTCCCTGTAGGAAGGCAGATGATGATATTCTTCCCTTCTAAGGCTGGCTGAGCCACTTCCATTTGGTAAGACCTGAGACGCAGTTCTGGTTCGGGAGATGCTCTTCTTGTTTCAGTCTCTTCATCTGCACGAGGTTCAAAAGAAGGAAAATTAGGGGAGTGGCAACAAATGAACTGATTAAGACACCTGGAATTGGACCTAGAACTCTTGTGATTTAAATGCCTTTTCATGTACGGTCCAAACCAATCCACATTCTGTTTTCTGTATCAGATGGGCACCAGCTAACTGTTGGCAGTGGCAGGCAGCAATGAGGAGGGCTAACAGGGGTGGGCTAGGGTCTATTCATGGAGAGGGCAGAGTTGAAGGGACATGATAGAAAGTGTTGTCCTGAGTTGGCACTCAAGGTTCTTAATGAGTCAGACTTTTCATTTCTTGGCTGGGCCATTAGGCTCTACTTTCTCCTCTCAGTCATTCAAAACAAACTCAAGAGGAGCTGGGAAAGGAGAAAGAATCTATCTTGCTCTGAATTCCTTTATTTTTTATTAGAAGATATATGTGTTGCAGAAAATATAAGTATTCCTCCAGTTATGAAATTTTATCTGATAATCGAACACTCAAACGGTATGTGTGCGTGTCCCTTCAATGAGACAGACGGACAGAGACGCTCCAACCTTGGGCTCAAACGTACAAACACAACAATGATTTCGAGAATGGTCCAAGACCACGGAGGACTTCCCGTTACTGTGCCAAGGGCTGCTCTGCATTTGGAACAGATTTAATGGCACCTAAGAACGACATACTTCTCAATATACACAGCCATTGACACCTTGGAGCCAACCAGGATGAACAGAAGCAATCATTACAGAGTTGGGGAAAAACTCCTCCCATGCTACTCTTTCGTTGGTAGGATTGTATTGAACACAGAAAATCAACTTTTTGGTAAAAATGTGACTTATTTTGCCATTTCGTTTTGGTCTTTAGTTTTTGGGTATTTATTACCATCTTATATGTCTTCAATTATTAATACACATTCCCCTGACATCTATAGCATAATACATTTAAAAGATTTCCAATTAGCATGGATGCATAATTAACTATCTGCTCCCTTTCTCATCTTGAATTGTATCTTTAAGTATTGAAACTTCAAATATTAATAAAATAGGCAATAAATACATTACTTACTGAAAATTGCCATAAAATGTTAATCACATCTTGACTTGAGAATAAAAACCTTCTGTTTGGATATGACTATGCTTATCTGCATCATGAGGAAAAGGTCTAAAAATGCATCACTTATAATCAGAAATGCAAGAAAATGAATATTATACCAATATAAAAGCCCACCCTAGGCTTCACATAAACACACACACACAAAAAAAAATCATAGTACTTAATCAGCACTTCATTACAAATGAAATAAGTGCCTTCTTCTGTCAATGATTACAGGAAGACTAAACTAACCCAACCCCATTAACCTCAAAAAACTTGCTGATGGTTCATTTCATCAACTGGATGGTTATACTTAAATGGGTTTTAACTTGCTGTGATAATACGACCTGAACAGGTAGGAAAAGTCACACCAAATACCACTTAGTAGTGCCATTTACTGGCTTGGCAGGATGTTTGTTTTGCATATGGATGAATAAAGACAGATGCAATTCATTTGGGCTATCACTGGATCATCTGCTAATTAGTTTAATGTGACCTCATAAAAAGCTCATTCCAGATCACCAGAATTTTCAAATATACACACTTGGGACTTTCCTTTCTGTAACTGCTTTGAACTCTTATGGCAATTATAATTCACTTTATATTATATTTATCTAAGGTTCAAACATATTTAAGAACATCATTACTTCTTTGGGAAGTAGTTTTTGTGTATAATTAAAATATTCCACCCATGTTGAGTATTTGTCACCTAAAATTCTCAAAACACAAGGATATGTGCAAAGGAGGATCTATTTTAAATGGTGTCTTACTTACAAGGAGATCCAGAAATCTAATTTGTCTGATTTGCTATGAGAAGGGGGCTTGAAGCACTGACTGATGAAAATCAAAGACTACTTTGCTTTAACAAAATAAACAAAACTTATCACAACTGGAACAATACATAGCATCATGATAAACAGAAAAAGATCGAAGTTCTCAAGGAAATCAGTTTCCTTGGATCCACAATTAAGGTCCATGGAAGCAGTAGTCAAGGAATCAAATGTGATATTGCACTGTGCAAACCTGCTGCAACAGGTGTCTTCTAAGCTTCACTGTAGGACGAAGGTACATCCCACCCAAGTCCATTGTGAATTACTGAGGTTAACAGAGCAGATCATCATTTTGACCTTCAACGACTCATCAGACCTCCTAACGTCTTGATCTGTTTCCAACAATCCCCCCCCCCCTGTATTCTTGCTGAATATTATCTTTGCCTTCACCCAAGTAAATCCCTGTACTGTCTCGCTATGACTCTCCTTTCTTTCTTTCACTCCCACCTCTAGTGTCTCTCAGTCTTTCTTTTCATGTGACGACCTGTTCTGCACTCTTTAAAACAGTGGTTTCGTATCCGTGTTCTTTGGTGTTTGGTTAACTTTGCTCAGCACAAGACCCTCCAGGCTCATCCACGCTCTGAGGTGTTCATTGTTCTGCTTTAGCTGCTGTGTAGCACGCCAGTGTGTGTTGAGCCACACCAGTTTCATTAGCCTCCCATGCATGGCAAAGCTGGACAATGGATACGGAAGCTCAAAGAAGGACCGATGCCTTTGCATGATGGTGTTGGAGAAGGATATCGAATATGCCACGGGCTGTCGGGACCTCCGTGGCATAGTGGACTACGCGGTGAGCTGCAAGCCTCTAAGTCGGCATTCACCTCCATCAGCTGCTCCAGGAAGAAACTTGGGCTGTCTGCCCTTGGGCAGATGCTCAGCCTCCGAAACTCAACAGGGCAGCTCTCCTGTGTCCTCCAGGGTCACTATCAGTCAGAACCCACTCAACGGAAGTTTGTTCATTCGTTCGTTTCCCCAGAAGAATAAATAACTATCTCTTGAAAGACATAACAGCCAGAATGTTCTTTAGAAGCGAAGATGGTGAGACTCTGTCTCACCTAGCTTGGACACACTGTCAGGAGGGACGAATCCTTGCAGCAGGATCTTATGCTTGGTTAATTAGAGGGTCAGGGAAAAGAGGACCCTCGCTGAGAGGGACCGACACAGAGGGATCGTCACAATTGTGCGGACGGAGCAGAACCAGATAGGGCTTCGTTCGCTAGGACCTTCGTGGAACGGCTGTGAGTGGGAACCTCCTCAAAGCCATCTTCCAGCTACTTGCTGTTGGATGTAGGAGTTTATTCAACTACACGAATCATCAACTTCTTTATGTTTCATTTCATTCTAGGCATATTTTGGTATAGGTTAAAAAAAATTAAATGGGGCTTAGCTTCGTACACCTTGTAGGCAAGAAGAATCATTTTAGAGAAACATTTCTTTCTTTTGTTTTTATGCTCACTACTACGACACCCTGGAGTAATAAAAAGATATTTTTTAAAGAAGAAGAACAAGAATAAAAAAGGAAAGAAACATGTAGCGTTTTTCTAAGTCTGTCCCAGGAATTTAAAAGTGAGTCAAATGAGGAAAATATCTACATCTCACACACACATGATTTCAGAAAAGTTAGGGTGTTGAAAGGGCTATTGTATTCAAACTTTAATTCAAGCATTGGCATCAAGATGTTTTACTAATATATATCGGATCATATACAGCTATCATTGTGCAGTAAACATTTACTGGGTGATTCTCAGGCACCATGCACACCACATGAATACAAGCCTTCGACTGCTAGGACACTATACTGCTGCCTCTAAAAACAGGCGGCTAAACAGATAATATATAAAATGGGCAATAAATACATTAAGTAATGAAAATTACAATAAAGTATTCATCACAACTTTTGTTTGCAAGTGAATATATTTATCTGCATTAAGGGGAAAAGGTCTGAAAATGAATAACATATCACTAGTAATTCAAGAAAAATAAATACTATACCAATATAAAAGACCACCTTAGGCCTCACATAAACACACACAAAATCACAGTACTGAATCAGCACTTCATATCACAGGCAATAAGTGCCTTTCCCTGTCAATGATTGCAATAAAACTAAACTAACACAATCCCATTAACCTCAACTAAAAAACTTGCTGATAGTTCCATTTCACGAACTGGACGGGTATATTTGAATGGGTTTTAACTTGCTGCAATAGTACTATTTGAACAGGTCGGACAAGTCACGGCAAATACCAATTAGTAGGAGCCATCTACCAACCTGGCCTTTTGTTCTTTGCTTTTTAACAGGCACCTCAATAAATAAATTTTTGATTGAAGTTCCAATCAAATCTAAAAGACTTGATGGGTAGCTCCAAGTTTGAAGGGGAAGCAAAGAGCGGATACGGGGGTTAGGGGATGGTAGAAGAGGTGGAATAAGGCTTGGATTCCCTATGAAAATAGAATCCAAAGGAAAAAAGCTGGGTGAGTGCTAAATATTCAGCCTGATCCCTGCCGTCTCACATCTTCTGACATAGGGATGGGAGAATTTATCCTCATCCACAAGGAAAGGAGATGTTTGCCTTCCCTTTCACCAGAAGGAGAGAAGTAGGCTGGTGTCACTGAGCCAGGAACTCATTTCCTTAAAAAAAAAAAAAAAGATTGGGTTCCTATTTGTTTGTTGTTGGCTGTTTTTGGAAAGTAGAATCAACTAAATGCAGTGATGAAAATTTTATTTAAAATAGGCACAGGCATCCCATAACATTGTACCTACCATCTGTAAGAATTGCTGATTGATTGATGATCTTAAAATGATTCTGTACCATACAAATGGTCAAAAACCTGAAGCTTAATAGGGTTTCGATAATCATATTCTCTTGGAACTACACCATGTGGCAAATCTCATTCTCACAGTGATTCTTGACAGCTGAGTTATTCTTGGAGAGAAAAGGTCTGTCACGGCATGTGTTTGAAATTTACAAACTATTCCTTTACCTATATAGTATGCAACCACGGACAAATACACCGTTCCAGCTGGACAAGCATTAACAGTCAGTACCTCGAAATAGGAAGGAAACACTTTCTGCCTATCAGGCCAATGTGTACTGCCGAGAATATCGCCGCTGTGCAGCAGGAGCTGATCTCTCTGAAAGTAGGAAACCGGGGAAAAAAAATCTTCCCAAGGTCTAATTAGATCACTTAAATGTTAAAAGCACAATTAATTATGTTTCTCTGTAGCGTATTATTTCTAATCCTTTCCAACAGGAGAACCGTGTGTGCACTAGGTCAGGCTATGATCCCTCTGTCTTCATAAACGACCTTTCAGTAAGAGCAAAGGGCCGGTAAATTAAGGCCCTTCTAAGGTTAATCTCAAAGGCTGCAATATAATTCCAAGCACCCGGGCACTTTTCAGGAATCAATATGTATTTAGCATTCACCATTTTATCTCAACTATTTTTTAACCAATTTATTTTCCAGCCTGGACTGTGCACCTGTTGGCAAGGAATTTTATAATTTCGGAATTTTGCAGCTCACTATGCAAAGTAATTATTTATCGCTATACACATAGCCATCTAGAGTTTCAAGGGGTGACTCTTCAATATGTGTTTTTCTTTTAAAATGTATTTGCTTTTGAAAGTGTATTTGCTTTTCAAAAGTAGCTTGCATTCAGATTTCGCACATCTTTCATGCAACATTGATGACTAAAAGTCAGCAAATACTTACATTTGCTAAGAGCTCTACATAGGCACAATGCCCTGTACACTGAGTGTATATATATACTTAATATTTATTGAATGAATGCTGTTGAAGAGCCCTTACTTAAGCAAACAAAAATTAGGAAAAGATCCAGAAGCTTAAACTTTAAATATTAACTAGCTATTTTTTCAGGTCTGGCATCAGCAGTTATTTGATAGATACGTTAGTAATGAAGTTTATCAATGTAAACATCAAATTTCGATGAAAATAACTGCCACCCCCCCAAAAAATAAGCACATGGTAATAAACAGTGATGGAATTGAAAAGAGATTCATGAAAACTTTTTCATTAAACGTAATTTATTACAGACATTTAATGAATTGAGTTTCTTCCACAACCTTGTTCTAAAGGATTCGAGGAGGATAAAAATGAACATAAATCTAAAGGAGGGGCGGGATCCCATTAGGAAAGCCTTTAAGGCAAAAGACCATCCATCTTCCTGTAAACGATTTTGTACCTTTAGGCTTATTCTGGATCTAACTTTCCATAATTCTTTTGCTGATGTAGGATAACCATACACACTATTTTCTGAGTGTTTTCACAGCCTCTGAACAAATCAACAATAAAGTCATTTGCTGGCCACACTGAAAAGCCTTGCTTTAAGTTGTTACAATTTGTTCATTTTAATTAAGAAGTGTTTCAGGCATAGGATCAAATATAGAAATATGTATAACAGACAGCCAAGGACAGATCCATGCCCCATACTTAGATGACTTTAATATTCTACTTCACTATTAAAGTGGAAATGCACAAAGAACAGAAAACATCTGAAACCTATCAAATTGACAAAGAAGCAAAGAAGTCTGATCATAGAATTAGTGGAAGCATGCGAATCTCACTTTTTATTGCTCAGCAATTCAACTGACATAAAGCACCATTTGGTAGACAACGACTAACAATCTCCATGTAGTGGTCTCGAGATTTCACAAACTCTACTTCTAGCCAAGTGAACTTTAGAAGATGTGGAGCTCTTTAAAGTATATATGGAATTTTTAGGTTTTCATTCCAGAAATTCAAGAGCGACTCTTTCATGAACTGCAGTTATCTACAAACTCACTCGAATGCTAGTATTAACTTTTATTTAAAATATCTTTAAAGCGAAAGTAGGGAGCGGGAATAGTTTTCTTTCATAGGATACAGCTTTCAAATGCTGCCAAATGAACTGAACCCGGTCTTAGAAATAAAATAGATGGCAGGGGTCTACGGGATGCGGAATATGGCAGACCACAAAGCTAGGTCCGAGATGCAGAATCATGGATTCTAAGAGACTTCGGGAAGTTGTACTTCTAAAGAAGGTGAATGGCAAGGTTCCAGAAGTACTTCACAGTGGAAGGGAGTTGCTTTAATTGCATAAATACATTAGGGAGGGTATGAACAGCCCCCGAGCTTTCCACTCGATGGCGTCTTGTTTCACACTTTTTAAGGTTTACACAACAGTTAGGCAGTACCTGAATCACTTCCCATGGAGCCTGAATCACTGCCCATGTTGCTGTTATGTCCAAGACTTTCATCTAAGCAGCTGACACTTCCTTCTGCCAAACTTGTGTCGGATTCTGCAAAGGAAAACATTTTAAAATATTTTTTAAATATTTCTGAGAATAAACGTATTTTAACTGCACACCTCTACAGCACACAGTACATTCAGTTCAATGCAAGTGGGGAAGGCACACCCAGACAATTCTTAAGAAAAGGTAAGAGTTCCTGGCAAGCTACAGTTTGGAGGGAAAAAAATCCACTATGGATGAGCAGCTGCCGGGTAGGAAATCAAATACATATTATTTACTTGAAGTCCTATGTGTATACGTCCAATGTGAGAGCTAGTGAAAATTACGACTTCTGCCAGCACCCCCGAGTGCAAAATGCACCCCCCAAAACGAGATTTTGCCTTGACAATATCGTTCACATAAAAATAGTATGAGACAGAACTCGTGGCAGGGAATTAATGCGTGTTGATGTACTTCCCCATAAGTTATAAAATAGTAGTCTGGTGATAAACGATTTTATAAACTCGGAAAAAATTTGCTTTTTTGTGAGACAATCTCACTGAAGCCTAGCTGCTCAGTTGTGCTGGGAACTGGTGTGGGGCTGGAACAAGCGTTGTCTTCACTATGATCAAACGTCTTATCCAAGAGCTACTGTTAACTTGAGGGGTGAGCGCATAACACCCATCACGCATGGATCTTGGAGCCTCGGCTTTCAGTACTCTCAGCACCCTCGGAGAATTGTCTTTCCTTACAATTTGCAACTATTCCAAGGACTAAACCTAAATAAAAGGAGATGACGAGTGTTGGCTCTGGACTAGAAGGCCTTGGGCAACTTACAATTCACTGAGCCTCAGTCGCCACCACCGCCCCGCCCCCCCCCACACACCTTATTTAAAATTAAAAACATCTCACAGAGTTTGAAAACCATGAAATAATATCAGGTATATATGATATTAGTACAGTCGCTTAATTACCAGAGGTTCAAAAATGACGTAAAAGTCAAAGAGCTGCAGGAGTTTCCTATTCGTAAAACTAATAATATTTATAGCCGTTATGTAATTACCATTTAATCTTAGAGTGCCCCGCATGTGAAAGACATGATATCACGCTAGTCTGAATGCCATCCGTTTAGGGCCAGAAACAGGAACGGATGGAAAACAGGCACGCAGTATGTTATCAAGAGAATGTGCCTGGGAGAACACAACTCCTCAAAACAAGTCTTTTCCTCTTTTTTGTTTTTAACCTGCTAATATTTCCTATCTGGAGAGACCGGTCCTTGGAGAAGAACACTATGCTCAGTAAAGTAGAGGGACAGTGCAAAAGAGGAGGACCCTCCATCCGACAGATGGACCCGGCGGCCGCAGCAACAACGATGCAGATGGCGCAGGACCAAGCAGTGCTCCCTCGGTTCTGCATCGGGTCACTGTGGGTGCCCCTGACTCACCAGCACCTGATAGCAACCATCTTTGGGTTTTTAGTTGAGATTTACTGATGTGCAATTTATTTAGGTGACGAGTCACCCGTGTTATGTGTACCCTCTGATGAATGTGACACACGGCTACAATTTTGTAACCACCATCCAATTAAGAAAAGGTATATTTGTATCACCCCCAAAAGTTCCTTCTTGCCCCTTTGTTGTCAATTCCCTCCTGCTAGCCACAGAGCTGGCTGCTGGCTCCATGGTTTGGCTTTCTGCGGGGTGTCACATACATAGTTCCGTGGAGTACGCTGTGTTTGTGTCTGGCTTGTTGAACTTAACCTAAGACCTCTGCAATCCATCATGTTGCTGCGTGTGCCGGCTGTTAGTTCTGCTTGATGGCTTCCTCGTGTCCCAAGGCAAAGCCAGGCTGGCTCCATGGGTAAGAACGGAAGAAGGGGTGGTCGAACCCACCAGCCAGCCCATTAGAGGACGATGTGGTCTCCTGTTCCCCTAAAGGTTACAGCCTCAGGGACTCCCTGGGGCAGTTCCGCTTTGTCCTACAGAGTCGCTAAGAGTTGGAAATGACTTGGCAGCAATGGGTCTTTTAATATTCCGTTTGGAGTCCCTGGGTAGCATAGAGGTGAAGCGTTTGACTGCTAACTGGGAGGTTGACTGTTTGAACCCATCCAGAGGTACCTTGGAAGAAAGGCTTGGTGGTTGGTCTGTTTCTAAAGGTTCACAACCTTGAAAATCCTACAGAACACAGTTCTACTCCGAATCCATGTCTCCATGTGTTTCTCTATGGCAACCAGTTTGGTTTGGGGTTTTGAGTATTCCATTGAGTATCCTACTATGACATCTCCCTTCTAATTGGGGAAAGTCCAATTAGCCCTGGTGGTCTAGTGGTTAGGAATTGGGCTGTGAGCCTCATGGTCACTGGTTCAAAACCATCAGCAGCTCCATGGGAGAAAGCTGGGCTTTCTAACTCCTGTAAGCAGTTACTATCTTGGAAACCCACAGGGGCTCACTATGAGTCAGCATTGACTCAATGGCAGTAAGTTTGGTTTTTCGTATTTAGCTTTAGGGAATGGGGCTTTCTACTGCTGTAAAGAGTTACGGTCTTGGAAGCCCACGGAGGCGGCTCTACCCTGTCTTAGTCACTCGGAGTTGGCGATGGCTCGGTGGCAGTGAGGTTTGAGGGTTTTCTGTTCTTGTCTTTCGCTTTGAGGCCCAGCAGCACATACGTACCTTTCTTAAGGTTCAAAGAAAGCTGATAAGAAATTGGAGCGAAAAACTCTCAATGGACATGCATACTGTTTAAGTATATTAGCACAACATAAATATACTAATGTGAAAATACTGTGCTTATCAGTTGTTGTATATTAGCTCTAAAACTCAGATTTGAGGAATCCCTTATGATCACAAGGGAAAACCTGTATATTCTCAGTGAGAGATTTTAAATATGGCACTTTGCGATTCCCAGAGGTACGTCTTGTTAGAAGCTCAGAGGCGAGTGTAGGATAGAACTGTCAAGTAAAAGCGTGTTTTGGGCAGATGTCCTGATGAAAAGAGAATATGATTTGTAAGGCAAAGGCAAGGTGTAAAATGAGATAGGGAAATGTCATTGTGAGGATAATTCTAGATCTAGAAATACAGGCTAAGATTTTTAAAGTAAAAAAAAAAATTTTTTTAAGAATGCTGACACAATTTTTTTTGTTTCTGGTTGTTTACAATGTAGTAGAGAGAACTGAAGACAACACCAAAATTGCTGAAAAATAATCGTCTTTACTGATACAACCTAGCAGCGCATCCCTAAGCATTCCACGAAGGGCAGTCATAAGAACAGAGGTTATTAATGATTTTCATTTCATTTTCTAATCATTAGCAGTTAAGCCACAATCTTAAACTTACTCCAAATGCATGTAAAGATAAGATTTCCCCCAAGCTTTGTTCTAGCATACATGCGGTGTGTGTGTCTACCTAGGCAATGTGCACAAAGAACTTGTGAATATTAAAGAAAGCTGCTACCCAAAACGAAGTTTTATGCACTAAGTTAGTGACCCAGATGATTCTGATCTAACTAAGCGTCAATGTGTCCGGGAGGCTCTGGGCTCCGTGTTTACATGGACTTTCCCTTTGATGCTCTCCACATCTGGGTGGGGGGACGGTTATCACCTCACTGATAGAGGTGGGAAAGCTGAGCTCAGAGAGGTGAAGTGGTTTACCCAGATCACACAGCTACTGTGTAGCAGAGCTGTACTCCCCTCTCCAAAGCCAAGATCACTCTTTCAGCACTTCCTCATTCCGCCCCCATCACCAAATGTAGCTGCTGATCTGTGGGAAGGTGCATAAGCAGGTGGATGATCGGATATCCAAACTCTTAAGTAAAATGCAAGGCTGCCTTTTAAAAACACAGTGTAGAAAGAGACCGTTTCATTTTAGTGTCCTGTCTTCTATTCCTCTTGAAACAGAGCTTATCTTTCCAAGAAAACAAAATGTTAGATGTTTTATTTTGTTAGCATTTCTGATTTTTTTCCCAGCAGATGCTTACAAACTTTATATTCAAATGCCTACTTCATCTTTAAACTTTTTCCTCTTGTACACATGCAAGAAAAGAAGCACTTGCCCTCACTGCACA